AAACTCAACCTTTCGCTTCAGCGTGAAGAATTAATTTGAACATGCTGATATGCAGCGAAGCACGTCTGTAAAATTTTGAACATTTTTTTGCTTTTACATAGGTTTCTTTACCTCGGCGTGAATAAAAAGTTACTGTTATCTGATTGCACGTCCTTTTACATTTCTTTTCACTTGGTTCCGTGTAGGTTTTAAAAGTGAACAGAAACTTGCGCGCTGGATTTCTGCATATTTAATTTACGGCGATCTCCACGCGGTTTGTTTGTTTAGTTTATTCAGTTTCGTTCAAATATATTTTTTGGAGTCTTATTCAGCTACTACAGAACGGCTGAGGAAAGAACTAAGTGGCCCATAATTTAACACAGTTGAAATACGAGTGATCTCAAAATAATTGGCTTGTTTTTGGCGAAAGGGTAGCTCTATGCAATCTTATCCGATTTGTTCAAACAAAATCAGACAAATTTAACAGTAGAAAAGGTATAATGGGTGGAGACTGATCCAAGATGCTTGGGAAGAGAAATACTGTAATTGAATTAAAACATAAGACACGATGGAATGCTTGAAATGTTCTCTGGAGGGAATATTAGAAGCATTGATCGGCTTCAGTTCTAGAACTTTGACCACACCCTTATTAGCTATTAAGCTCAAAAGCATGATTCGGTGAGACGGAATAAGCTGAGAAAATGTAAAACAAATCTATTCAGGGCTGCGAGGACTTTTAAAAATATTCATTTGGAGCGACTGCACAAGAATTTTACAAAGCAATGGTGAATAGAGATACGAAAGACGTTTGCGCGCCTCAATGTAACGCAACACCCTGTTGGCCGCTGACCATCGTCACGCTCTCCTGTGCGTATTAATCAAATTCTTGTGACGTTGCAGTATATTAATAACCCATATCAATACTCCGCATTCCTTTACAGTACAAGCAGGTAGCTGGTGCTGAACTCACCATTTTCGTTGTTTGTCCCCGTTGATTTACATTCCTCAGTGATCTTTGTAAAAGGAGGACCTCTAAACACTACTTCTGTTTCACTGACATCGCCATTTGGTGAGTAAGATTGTTACAATATGCCTTTTAGTAGGTTTGTTTACGGTAGTTGGTGTGATTTGAAGAAATCTGCATGTGACAAGGAAATGCGCACTTTGTTAGGTTCATTAGATATCGTTAATTTGAGCCGCAGTTCACTGTTTTCAAACAAGTTTCAGAACCAATTCTCTCGATTAATCAACACGGAGGATTGTTTACTTAGATTTCTGCCATGTTAAAGCATCTTTGCCTTGATATTATGTAAATTGAGTCCTCTCTATCGTGCGATTTAAAAGCCGCCTATTTCTCTTACTAAATGCGACAACCGTTTTTAAATGATTGCCTCTATTAAACCTTTCAACAAAAATAAACACTCTTAAGCTCTGTTTATGTCCAAATCGACCAAATCATCGAATCTGTGATTAATAAACATCAGCAGAGACGAAAGTGAATTAAAGTTCTATAAATGTCCATGTACGTCACGCTTTCTAAGAATTCTCGGTGATAAAGGATGAAGTAACAGACGGAAACTGTGTTTCTCTATGTTACCTGTAAGTAAAAAGCAAATGACGCAAATTTCTATGCGTTAACTGCACCTTTTCCAGTTTAAAGAAAGCTGGACTATTTGTTTAGTTTGGCACTGATATCGCGTGATTTAGCTGTTACCCGAGGGAATAATCTAGTTTAAAAGTCACATTTCTGTCTCCGCATTCAGTTGCATGACAAAATAACTCAGTTCGTGCTTCTGCCGTGCCGAACTAAATTCAGGAATTAAGTTCGACAAAAGCACGACAGAAGCACGGCGTCTGAATCAAACTTTTGAATTAAGTTCGACAAGCTCTGCCGTGCTACACGACTCTGGCACGGCAGCGATTCAAACGTCGTGCCTCTGTCGCGCCAAACGAAATTCATAAATTATATTAATATATTTTGGCAGGAATGCGTTCCCACGGGGAGTTAGGAGAAGAACTGTTACGAGGCATCAGTAAATTCTAAATTTGATTCGTCTCTGGCACGACGTCTGAATCAGAGTTGTTTTTCTGCCGTGTCATAGTCGAACCAAATTGCAATTGAGTTCGGCACGGCAGAAGCACGACGTCTGAACTGGGCCTTAGCCTTTGTGAAATCTATGGTGACGTAATGGTCTTAATCTGGAAGTTCGCTCGGGACATGCCCGTGCATGATACGAAAACGAAACGAGTGCCACGCTATTAATAACGCTATTAATAAACAGCTTTCCTCCTTAAAGGTCAAAATTTAATTTGTTTGTGCTATATGTAAAGGACAAGCAAAGTAGTCACGCGATTCGCACAATCCGAGGTTTACACTATCCACGGCTAATTTTAGAACGGTTGTGTTTTTTCCCCTAGCATTGACATAAACGCTGCAAGTTCTGGCAAGCTCCTGTTTAACTCAGCAAATATTTAATTTTCCTTCAAATCTCTTAACTCGCTGCTATGAAACAGCCAAAAAATTCACTTCTTTGCCCAAACCCACAAGAAATACTCGCGAAATTGCAAATAAATTAATGACCGTCGCTTCTGGCGAAATAAAGTTGGAAAGCTGAGGGCCCCAAGTTTATCAGTAACTTAAGTTACTGTCATGGGTCACCCTCATTAAATAAAGTCTTTCACTTCACTTCACTTCAAGTAAACACGATCTTATTTTGCACCCAGCGAAAGTGGAAGCTGCAACGTCAGCGCATTCCATGGCTGACGTAATACCTTTTTTTGGCGTATTTAATATTGCTGTATTGATGATTTCGTGTGTTCTCACCACCTCACTGCTCGACTAGATATTGATATTGTGATGTGAAATTAGGTTTTGATCATTCTTAGGGGTTAAAACGATAAAATTAAACATCTTCAGTAGACTACATCGTTCAAACTGTTGGAAAAAAAAATGTAAGTTTGACGATATATAGCTATCGGTGTGTTACGAAAACATTAACTACTTTTAATTTTTAACATCGCCACCGACCTGAGCTTTTACATAAGTACGCCGTGCATACGATTCGTAAAAATTTTGCTTTGGATTTTTTCTGGGTTGAGCGCGAAAAATTCTGAAAAATGTTAAGCTTAATGATTACATAAAAATCCAAATAATGCGATTTAAATCCAAGAGCCTTGTTTTGGGGTTAATGATTTGCATTTATTATTCACCAAGGCAGGTGTATCTTCATTGTTTTGCCTTTTTACCGTCAAATGATAAATTGAGCGTCGTTTTTGGTCATTCTTGCATATTATTACGCATAATGAGATGTCATTTAAATTGCTAGCAGTTATACTGCGTTGTTACGAGAGCTAGAATTCTATAGGGAAAAGATTTTATTCAGAATTTTGATGGTTTTCTTTTCGCTTGGGAATTTTAGAAATGGGAAACTCGGAGACGAAAGAGGAGCAACAGCTGAAGGCGGATTCTCAACAGAGTGCGCCATCTTCGAGAGGAAAAACTCTGAGCGATACGAAGAAAATCTTTCTTCTTCACAAGTCAACTGGTGAGCAACTTAAAGTGGTGAGGAATTTTCGCGACGCTCTGACCACGGCCGCGCATGGCAGTATTCGCGTGGCGAATGATGTAAATATCGCTGACGGAAAAGATGATTCGTTGAAAGATCTTCCCTGGCTTGAAGAATTAAACAACGTTGTCTTGATTTGCCTAACATCAGAAGCCATTGCCCAGCTGGAAAAAATTGTCCGTGATAAGGGATTCGCCGATGAAAATGGTCATCTACATGGAAAGGTTTTCAGTATTTCATTTGGAGGAAGTCTTGCATCTGAATGGCCTCCTACAGGATTACAAAGGGGTTCACTCGACGCAAGAGATTTTCATTTTGGGTTTTCAGAGGTGGCGAAGCTTAAGCCACAAGATTTTGAGAGATCGGAAAAGATGAATGCCCTGGTTGCGGCAATTAAAGGGACACAATGAAACAGGAGTGGTGAAACTCGTTGAATAATGTTTTGTAAGTACCGTATTTCTTAAACTTGGTGAACATTGTGAAAAATAGTTCTGTATTACATTGCTGAACTTCAGAGTAGCCTCAATCGTAGAGGTTGTTGGTCGTAGTTTTAATTTTAAACGTTTTTTGTTTTACTGTAAAAGCGATTGAAGACTGACATAACGAATAGGTACTCAGAATTAGCATACAATGTGACATGAGGATATAGCAGGCAATTCATAGAAAATATTACAGTTCGAAGTACTAATAATTTGTTTACTTCCTTGAATATACACTCTTCGAGTTGTAAATTTTCAATATAGTTTCAAAGAACTCATCCTCGTCTAGGAGTTGCATTTTATTTTGTAAAGCGAAGTTTGCAATAAAATGTTTTGAAATTTCAGTCACGGTTTTTAAAGAGTATCATTTTAGCTCTCTTTAGCGGTTTTTAAAGGGTGTTATTTTTAGCTGTCTTCTATGGCATTTTCACTTATTTGGTCATGAAAATGCGTCTGCAAGTTGGTTTTAGCTGGTTTTATCCGATTACTGTGATATCTTCCTTATTGGACCTTATTGGGTTATCAAACGCCTTGTTACCGGAAGTTGATCTGGCTTCCGGTTACCGTCATTCTAACCAATCAGAAAGAGAAAGCTCGATCAAGCGTGCACCGTGTGATACTGGGTGGAGAATGCGTGATGGTCGATTGAATTCCGTCGCTTTGCTATAAAATTCAGCTGAATCCAGCATGAGGAAAACAGATAAACAGTATACAACCGTCCAGATGGAAGAAAAAAAATCCAAAGAAGAGCGAGAGCATGATTTGGAAGAACCTTTTAATGAGGAATTCTGGTTAAAGGTGAGGTATTTGTTGTTACCCTCTCCGATCAGCGCGCTTTTGTGCTGTTTTGTAGTTTGTTTTGATTCTCAAAATGTGACTTCTCAATCGTTTTCCTCGGTATTGTTACCACTCTCTCGTTTGTATTTCATGCTAAGCATTAAGAAGTGAGTTTTAGAAACGCCAAAGTTATCATTTTAACGATTGAGTGTGTCGAATTTTCAATCTTAACATTTTCTTTATGTTTACAACTCGAGTTCAGTTTGAATCAATCTGCTCATCGCATTCTTTCTGTCTGTTTCAAGATAAGCCTATTTTTACGGACCAGATTTGACATTATTCAGATACATTCTGTAGTTCCCCCACTCAATTATTTATCTCGATTTAGTTTGATATTTAATTTTATTTCCAAGATTTGCTTGAAGAATAGCAAGATTATTGAGTCGTGAACATTCTACTTTTGAATATTAAGCTTAAATAGAAACGATCAATACACTGCTTCAATATAAATTAACCACCTCGACTTCTGCCACGGATATTTTAAGTTTGTTGTAAAAATTAATGTTGAACCAGGCAAGTTAAAGCGTAGCCAGCAAATGCTGGCTATGTGTTGGAGCTATGGGGGAGTGGGGTGGGTGTTATTCATACATGCACAGAAACCTGAACAAGGGCGCACCACGCCTTGCCTGAAAAAGGCCAAGGTAAAATATACTAGCCTTACATGTATTCATTAAGCAATAGAGCACCTTTTCTGTGTTTACATAGCCTCATCTAAACACAAGGAGGGTTGGGAGAATTCGAGACAGTTATGCAAAACCTCGACTACGTCTCGGGTTTGCATAACTTTCGAGAATTCTCCCAGCCCCCAAGTGTTAAGATGAGGCTATGTACACATGGAAAAGTGCTCTATTGCTTTTATAAAATAATTCTCAAAAATGCGCGCAAATCTGAATCGTCACAACCGTGTTTACATACTCTCATCCAAACCCACCTATTGACCAATGAGAGCACGTGCAGTGGCTCAGTTATTTTATAATAGGTTATAGTTTTCTCTATGAATTAACNACCCTCGACTACGTCTCGGGTTTGCATAACTTTCGAGAATTCTCCCAGCCCCCAAGTGTTAAGATGAGGCCATGTACACATGGAAAAGTGCTCTATTGCTTTTATAAAATAATTCTCTAAAATGCGCGTGAATCTGAATCGTCACAACCGTGTTTACATACTCTCATCCAAACCCACCTATTGACCAATGAGAGCAAGTGCAGTGGCTCAGTTATTTTATAATAGGTTATAGTTTTCTCTATGAATTAACAAATTGATGTCATTTTTTCATGCATCTGTCCTGTTATTGACAATGATTTTGTCATAACTTGTCAAAGTAGCCGTCAATACACGAGGTGATAGCTGAGTGGATCTGCAGACTACTTTGACAATCTTACGACAAAATCATTGTCAATAACAGGACAGATGCATGAAAAAACTGATGTCAATTTGTTTTTGTTTTTTTTTACAATACTGATAGCAAAAAGACATAGATTATAAATTCATGTGTTGGTCCCCTTATTGCCTATGAAACTTAGCCAATAAGTGCACACAATTTTCTGCAGTTATTGTAAAACATGGTATTGATACAGAGCTGTCAAGTTGATTTGTCGGCAAAGAGTGAAATCTTTGACAGCTTAGCCGCTGTTTGTGACACTGCAGGCATCACCCCGCTAGGGGGTTCTGGGGGCATGCTTCCCCATGAAATTTTAGAAAATGGAAGTAGATAGGACATGTTTTTCTTCATTCTGAGCAGAAATGTGGTGCGTTAAAAGCAACTGTTTAGATCACAGAATTATCTTTTCATTGGACCAATATCAACTCTTTCTTAACATTCTGACTTACATCTACCCACTGATCAGAGAAACGCTGGTTCTGCACAAGGATTAAGTGCTTGAAGCGAGTACAAACCCCACAAAGACTAAATTATATCATAAAAGATAGTTTATTATGAACGAACTTCACTGAAGCAGCAAGGAATCTTAAATGTGTGAGAAATAACAGTTTCAGGCTGCGTGAGAGCGTAAGATTGAATTTGTTTGCACGAGTCTCACACTCAATGCATGAGACTTGAGAGCTCTTTTGATACCATAATCCCATATAAGTGACTTTTTAAAATCATATTGATCGGTTTGGCCACTTAAAGGTACAAGAAAAGTTTAGTTCCAGTGACATATCATGGAACAGAGCCATGGATGAAGTGCGGACTGACAGACTGATGGCAAAATATGGGCAAGACAGCCTTCTTGTGATAATACGTGATTGGCCAGCCAGTGAGAAGTACAAAGATAAGCCAGAGATGGTGGCTAGTTTAGAGTATCTGGTATGTCTGGTTAATGTATGCCTCCAGTATATAAACACTCCATATACAGTGTAATGTTTTTATATGGAGCAATATATAAGGCCCATTACTTTCAAGAATACAGGCAATAATTAGGAGGCTTGAAACCTTGTCATTGAGCTCCAGAGGTAGTATCGAAAAATTTGCATTGGGTTTGTATTCATTTTGGAATTCTGTAGTTGCTAGAACTGTAGGTTTGCATGTGTATTAAATTGACTTGGTGTCTGAGATATTAAGCTGAAAATTAACGTCTTTAGTTTCAAAGGGTACATATAAACTAGATCATACAGGGGTCGTGGAGCTAGACCATTTAAAAGTGGTAGGGCTAGAAAATCTGGCCAAGAAGACAAACAAGCATAAGAGGTCTCTGTTCTGCTGTTTTGCTGGTTTCAAGTGGTCAATTTCAAACATTATCAACATCACGCATCTGGAGCCCAAAAAATAAACTGAAGAAAAAAGTAGTAGGACTGTAGCCCTACCAGTTCCAGTCCTTGGTGGTTGCTGTCATATATAGTTTGAAATCTTCAGCAATCTTTAGCAATCGTGGAAACATAAGAAAATTTACCATCTTATATATTATTATAATTTCTACTAAGCATTTTTTCTGCGATAAAAATTAGATATAAAAACTACATATAAAACACAACATTTTAACCTGATAATCTCAGAGAGGTCGATACATCAGTTTTATCGCTAGTTTTTATCCTGAAATATGTTATTATTACATGATTACAAGCATATTTTTAGTTCTAATACATCAGAAATACTGTGTTTCATTTCGTTCATAGATAAGTCGTTTCACAGAAATCATCTTAGAAAAGGACACCGATGAAGAGTACAAATACTTCCGTGTTGAAGAAAACCCCTCTCGCCCAACACTGCTTCACCTGGCAGCTGAGCAAAATTTCCTCCATGTGACAAAATTGCTAGTGGAAAAGTATCCCACACTTGTATACCTGGAGACAGAAGTAGTTGGTGATTATGAACGGGGGTATTTGCCAGTTGAAAAGGCTCTGATGTGCTATAAGGATGAAACAGCAGCATATCTCATATCACAGATGAAACATGACTGGTGGGTACAAGCCACAGAGGCTACTTTGTATTTCAGAGTTAAAGTTTGGAAGAAGGTGCAAGAATGTTTAAATTATACACCTTTTTGGATCATAAGTATTTTTCCAGTTAATTTTATTTTTGAAATACTCTGGGGGATTTGCTTTTTTGGAGTTAGGAGGAGGGAGGACTGATATTTTTTGACTTTTCATATGTAGGCCCGGGTTCAAATCCTGGACCCGGTGTCATAAGTGGTTGAGTTTGATGTTGGTTCTTGTCCTTGCTCTGACGGTTTTTCTCAGGGTTCTCCGGTTTTCCTCCCTCCGCAAAAATCAACATTTCTAAATTCCAATTCGATCGGGAATTCANCGTCTATGATGAAAAGCAAAACCAAAACAAATTGTATTCATTCACATGTAATTTCCTGTGCTTTGCATCTGCAACATGTAATTATACCAAGGCTTGATCAGTTCACTGGATGGTCTGTGTCTGTGTGATTGGCTAGAGTGGTTACAGTGGTTTTGGGTCCATGACACTTAATTGAAAACCACTCTATTGACAAGAACAAATAAATTATGCAAGATTAGTGACATCATACAACAACATTATTACATACATTGCAATCAACCACATTTTCTGTCCCCAAGAAAACAGTGGTTGCAGTGTTAGACCGTCTGGTTAACCCTCACTGGCCTTACCTGCCAGAGAAGACGAAAGAACTGGGAGAAAACAGTGATCGCATTGAGCGCGCTTGGAGCAGTGTACCAGATGATCCAATGAACTACGATTTCTTCTATCATGTGCTGGATGCCGATGATCAAGGGAGAGAGCCAAAGATCGATGAAAGAACCTTGAATGAACTGTTCAATCCAAAGTCCATGTCGTGTCTTCGGTGTATCGCTGAGAGTGATGATAAGGTAACTTTAATGTGAGCAGCTTTAAAAAAAGTAATGAACTGTTGCCATATTTGACTTCTTACATGTATCATTGTTACAAGCGTGATCCAGCAGGCAAGTAAAGTGTTTGAATGTTTGACATTTTGCTCATTAAGTGATTGCTCCTTTATTTACTATATTTACATGTATGTATACAGTGTACATATTGGGAGGGAATTTTTTACACTGTTGGTCCCCTCTCCCCTTTCCTTAGTACATGAATGATTGTACCTTTTTCTATGAAACTCAGAAAACCGTGAACAAGAGAAATGCTTAGTACGGAATGTTATTGTGTAGCAAGGAATTGAAAGAGCCAATTACAGTGTAGGCTTGAGGAAACTAAACGGGAAACAGCAACAAATTCAATACTTAATTTGAGGTTTTCAGTTTTCCTCTCGTGCCCTGAACTTAAGTGTGATTCATCAGTATACAATTATTGACCTGTCAGAATCGTAATCAAAGTGTTCATGGTTTTCTGAGTTTCACAGTAATGATTTAGTTTGAGCTACACCTTTCGAATTTCAAATGACCGTCCATGTCACCCCTTTTGCATACATGTGGNCCCTCCCAACACACACTTGCAGTAGTTGCCTATGGCTCTTGTTGTTGTGTAATAAATTTGACTGAGGTATGGAGAATATAGAGAAAAAATGTTGCACTGTTCCCTTTCATTTCTGAAAGCTCGCAATGTTTCATTTTCTTCCCAAAAACTGAATGCCAGCTATCTTTCATGATATATAGCCACATTCTTCCAGCTGGTAATAAAAAGAAAATATTAAGACCGGGAAGAACAATTTTAGTTCAAATCAGAGAGTAGTTGACAGCCATCTTGAATTGTGTGTGACTATGTGTGGCTCCTAGGGAACGACCTTTCAACGTTTTCTTAGCAACATTAAAGGAAGATTTCAAGAGACAGCAAAGAATAAACATGGATAGAGAGCCTGCAATGAAGGACATGGACAATGCTGTGCTGCTGGTCAAAGGAATAACCACAAATTTTTGTTTCTCATTGAAATAGTTGCAGTATGTGCTGTCAATGCAAGAGATTTTATAAATATAACAACACCGTACCGATGATATTGTTAAGTAAAGTTGTGCTGTGTACCATGACTAAATGATACACCAGCTGTAAATGGCTTGTCTATAGAAAAGAAATTGTATTTAATTTTTTAGCCAGGAAATTTTTTTTATGAAAAGAAGAGGTCATATTATATGATGAACGTGGAATAAAGTTTGTGTACGTTTTGGTTATGTTATTTTGTGTCAAATAACGCTATCACAGAATCACAAGAATTACGAGTTAGTTTATTACTTTGTCAAATTAATTATGAGATTTCCTTTAGACGATCAAGTTTTTAAATATGGTTTACTCCTGTAGCCAAAATATCAGCGTTTTGGTTGGAGCGACCTACACCGTGTACAAGGTTCTTTATTGGCCCAACGAAACAATAGGTAAACAACACAAACACTGCCCCTTGCTCTAAGAACAAAAGAGATGCGGATTAACAAGAACGAATGAAAATAGAGGTTTTAAAGAGGTGTAGGTCAACTGCTTTAGGTTCGATTTTTGTACAGTTGAACCGTGTTCAGTATATCTCAAACTGTATTGTCTTGAATTCCCAGCCGTCTTGAACTTATTTTATTTTCCCCTGAATATTCCTTTTCAGTAATGTACTATCGGCTAACTCGAACCCACGCCACCTCGAACTATTTTTGTATCTGACTCACTAAAGGAGCTCGGTCATGGTAAAAAAAATACCTTTAAATTGAAGGAAACCTGAACATCTTGCTTTACTAAGATAGAAAAACATCAAAGAGATAATAATAAACCATGAAAGAACAAGGATGGTTAACGATGGAGACGATTAACACGAATTACAACAGACGAACTTGAAAAATTTAGGCTAAACTTTTCAAGATGCACAAACCGTGACGTAGTTCCTTTAAGAGGTCGAGAAAGCTGGATGTTACTGTACACGAAAAATCGACTGATGGAATGAAACTGGAAAAAACTACATTTTGATGAAAACGGTGATAGATATAAATTTAACGATGCATAACACTACTTACTCTCGTCTTTCTGTGAGCGAATATTCAACGAGGCACAGCGGAGTTGTCTGTCATTTACAGAAAACAAAAGCGAGTAGTATCCCAAGACGGTAAGAACTATAAGAGGACCACTGAAAGTTGAATTTTTTGTAGAGATTTCATTTTAGCTTAGTTTAGGGGACCGTAATGCTGTACAGCAAGATCCTGTAAAAATGAAACAAAAAAAGTGAGGGGAAAAAAAAACCATGGTATATCCTGTAGCCCCCGAAGAGATTCGAACTCTTGACCCCTGGTTTACAAGACCAGTGCTCTAACCACTGAGCTACGAAGGCTGACTTGGAAGGAGTTTTTTCATTTCGGTTAAAATACGCTTGTTTCGTGCCAATCTTGCCAAGATTGTTGTTAGGAAACGACCATATTTGACAAGTCACTTTCCAAACCATAGCGACTGGTGAACTAGATTTTGAAAAGAGTGATGTTGTATTTGTTTTGTGCGAAAATCCCCGTACGTGAATGCTTCAGAGAGAATATTTTTACGGAAATTATCTCACATCAGATTCTGATACCAACGCTCAATTTCACATCATGTTTGTCCTCTTTTTGAAATGGCGGAAAAGTAGGACTGGTCTTCGTATATAATCAGGAAAGCACACAAGCATACACAAATTACTTGATAACTACTTTTTGTCTCTCCTATAGACGAACTAACTGGCTTTCTGAAAGAGAATCAACACATGATACATGTACCAAATTATTATCAGTGTCCCAATTTTAAAGTTTGAGAAGTGAATCGTACATGTCAATCAAAGACGTTAATTGTTGCGAGAAATAATAATAAAAAAACGTCCTCCAAATTTCACACTGCAACTTTGTCGAGTTTTCATGGAGTATTTTTAGCAAACGGTTCTCAGTGTTCTTAGGTAATGTTGGTAATGCTTTCAATAAAACTCTAAATTATGCAGGTCGAAATTAATGTGATTTGTCCATGGCATTACCTTACCTGATCTATTGTACTTATATCCAGCAATGTCAAGTCACTGACCTGAGATGGAGACGCCGGGATTTATGGCCGAATTTTAATGCTACAGAAACCGGACATTAAGCTCCGGCTGTGTGGACCAATAGGCTTGACACAGACTTTAGTCGTGCGTGTTTGGTTGACTTGGGCGGGCATATTAGATTCATGCATCAAGTCTCGCCATGGGTATTTTGGCAGTCTCGGCAAAATACGGACTGTGGGCTGACCAAACTCACCTGATATGCCGCCGTAGCGTACCTAGTCTGTCCACATACAGACCATCTATTTTGTCTTGAATTCGTCGAGATCGCAAAATAGCAAAATATTAACCCGGCGCGTGGGATATGAATGAGCCAAAACGTAAGGAGGTGGGGCGGGCGCTTGAAGAAAAATAACCCGTAGCAAAAAGTAAACATCTTTGAACAGACTAAAGCGTACCAAAACGTACGGTAGAAATAGATATAAAAATTAACCTCTGCTAGATATCCCCTATATTACTGAGCCAGGCTTAACATTTGTGTTTCTGTCTTGCATAGGAGGCCATTCAGCACCCTGTAGTACGTATGTTGGTTACCAGAAAGTGGAAAAAATTTGGTCATTGGTGGTTTTGGTAATAATTAGGTTTACTGTCTATGTAGCTAATCAATGCCTTATTTCTGTTCAACTGATATTTCCCTTGTAATACTCGTATTAGTGTTTTCTGGTTTCCAAGTTGACCCGCTTTCAAGCGAGACTCGGTGAAATTTTTATGTACGTGATTACAGGCGGTGAAAGAGTCTCAATCATAACTGTATATAACAGTCTTGTTTAGGCGCCATCTTGGAACGACAAAATGTACGTCTTCGATGCTTTGTTCCATTATGCTGATAGCGCCTGCGCGTGATGGCCACAAACGCCACGTTACCTTGCGCGCAAAGCTACAGAAGTCAGAATCGCTGTCTACCTCTGCAATATTGCGTAAATCATTTTCAGCGTATGCCCACCATCAGAAACATTTTTTACACTTGTGTGGCACAACTTCTACCTATCGCCGGAATCTCTTACCCATACATGACACCCTGCTTCTCCTTTGAGGGTCTACCAGGCTAAACATTATCTTCGTGTTGTTACTTGCAGTGTCCAAGCGTCATTTTATGTTTTGTTCCTAACGCTGTTATCATACGCACTCATCTATGGCTCGACTGTTGAAGACCCAACCCAGTACAATGGTAAAGCGGATGGTCTGCGGTTGTTCTGTGAAATTGTCACCATTATCTTTCTCATGTTTTACTTTTTTGAGGAAGTCAATGAAGCGGAGCGGTAAGTGTGGAGCTCATTATGGTTGTTTCCTAAACCCGTGCCGTACAGTTCCTATTACAAGCGCTTGGTTTTTTTTTTTTATTTAAGAGCCGTTTTAGGTGAGTGTTTTTCCGATTAGCAGGGGGAAAGGAGAAGGTCTTGAAAAGTTTAGCCTCAATTTTTCAAGTTCGTCGATTGTAATCGTTGTCAATCACCTCCATCCTTAACCATCCTTGTTCCTTTATGGTTTATTGTTATCTCTTTGGTGTTTTTCTATCTTTAAGTCAGTAAACTTCTATTGTCCTATTTCCTTTAATTTAAACGAAATTCTGTACGCGGCCAAAATTTAAAATACCGTTACAGAGCTCCTTTGATTTTAAGGTGCTTAAAGAATAGCGCTTGGTAAAATAGTAGTGTCTTTTCTTTTCAGGGAACAGAGAACGTATTTCAAAGACCCCTACAACTACTTTGATTGGCTGGGACTTATCTTGACATTTCTCGTTATTCCTCTACGGTTTTCTGGGGTTAAATATCAATGGAGTGTTGCCGGGCTCGGCTACTTGTTCAATTTCTTACGGCTCTTCAAGTTTTCCTGCGTCACCAGGTATTATGCTTGTTAAGTAAAGTTGTAGGGAAGTTTGTGATGGAGATTAACGAAACTGCAGTGTTGGCGCCAATGGAATCGTCTGTAAGCGGAAACTTTATCGTGCCGTACAATAGCTTGCTTGAGAGACCTGACTGCTATCGCCCTGGAATTTGGATCGAGCGGTCTGGGTTCGAGCCCTGACGGGGGTCACTTCGCTGTTTTTTTGACTGAGTAAGACTTTTTGCTCTCACAGTGCCTCTCTCCACCCGAGTGTATAAATGGATAACGCCCCGGCTTCCGCCTTCCAGTGTACTTTGTTGTCTTTTGCGGAAATATTTTCGACTTTCAAAAATAGAATAACCCTGTAAAACTCATGTGGACGTTCTTTAGCATTTTAGGTATTAGTTTGCTCTGCATAAATGTTTGTTTGGAACTACTTAACACATGTCACAATAAATTTTCGCGACATCGAACTGTTACGTTTTTCGCGATTTTGTCAAAATTGTAAAAATCGAGTGTGGCGAAAACAGAAAGCTGAATATATAACTTGAAAAAAAAACGTTCCAAAAAACGAAGCGGCGAAAATGGAGTGTCGCTAAATGCGAAATTAAGTTGTCGCGAAAATGTGTAATGACGTAACTATTTGATACTTAACATTATTTTTTTT